TTAGTCGACAACTAGCACTTTTTGGGACATTTCTCTTGATCCCACACATCTTGAATATGTATTTTTATCTGCACAAAAATCAAAAACTGCACTATTGAGAATATTTACAAATATATTCCAGTCATTCAAATTTTGAGAAAGACTTTGGAATGCTTTAGAACGATTTAACGAGGGAATCTCAAAACATAGACTCACTATATTTTTTTCTTCGAAGAAAAGAATTATTCAAAATGATATTTACATTTTGACACCATTATATTTAAGCATTAATATACGTTTAGAAAATAATGAATGTCTTCGTTGAATAAGACGTGAACGTTGCAGACCACCATGATACATTGTTGAGCATGTTAAATCACCACGTATTTCACAATGTGAAGACATTCATCAATCCAACGTATTAATAAAACAGTTAAATGACGTGCTAATACATGAACAACTTTTCATGATAAAGCACAAACGCATCGAGTTGTTGTATCATCAGTTATTAAATGTGTTGTTTTTTCATCGGTTTCATCCGAATAATGAATATTAAAGCGTTGAAGAAATTGATCAAGACGATCCTGATTGAAACAATAATAATAATTTTTTTTTCTTTTTCGATTCTTACTATTTGTTCATCAGTTAGGCGAGATGCAGTTATTGAAATTGATTTTTGAGTCAAAATATAATCATCAGCATGACTATCAATTGACCTAGCAGATGAACATGCTTGATTAGACTAAATATATATAAAAAAAAAAAAGAAAATACACAATTCATATTCTTCATCTATGATCTTACGTCGGATGTTACAGTTGACTCATCTATAGCTGTTGATGTATTAGGTCAAATTGATTGAACAGGTGGTATTAAGATTATAAGAAAAAAAGTCAAACAAATTCGATTTTCTTATAACACGAAACATATATCATACTATTTTGAGTTGAATCATATCGACATCGTTTAAAAAGAGCTCATTCATCTGACTTTCGACGTTTATTACTATTACTATTGACTAGAGTCGTAGAGGATATTTGCGACGATTGTTTGTTTACAGATATTGATGCTAAATCATATAAGAATAATATGATATATATATACAGTGCTGGCCATAAGTCCCGACCCCCCTTGAACTGTGGTCTTTATAGGAGCTAGACAGTTGAAATTTTGTGTGTATATACTCTATGACGAACGCTGATCGTCAGCACCACTCGCGCCAAATTTGCTCGAGTCAGAACGTAGTTATACTAGGTAGTAGTCATGCTTCTTGTGAAATTCATAATTCGAGGAAGGAAAGACCTATTGAGTTGATCTACATCTCATTGTGTAGTACTCTACTCTAGCTATCTACAGTAAAAATTTCATTGAAGGTCCTCGAGCCGTTGATGAATTATGACCATTTTACTGTAACCATCGATGTACAAAAAAACCATGTGATATCATTGTGAGACCCATAATTTAGTAAAAGCTTAACAGATCTACCTGAAATTTTGAGGAGATATTCCCTCACAATTGTCCATTATTTCCTGAAAGTTTCGGAAGTAAACATTATATTGGAAGAAAATGGCACACTGATGACCATTGGGTAATTTTCAAGGCTCCAGGAAGCCTATTTCTCAAGCAAATGTATTTATTTTTCTACTAATGAAAGACCATATCTTGAGTTTCATTTTCATACTAAAATATTGATAATTACACTTGTGTTTGATAAAAGAAAGCAAAAAGTTTCATAGATACCATTTTTTCATCTTTTCAGCAAAACTAGGAAA